CATACAAGAAAGTCCCGTCGATCTGGACCACAGGCTTGCAGTATTTGGCAGCATTAACGCACTGTGGGTAACTCCAAAAAACCCGGTAGAATTGGCTTCGATCGCGAATAACTCGATCATTATGGTATGCATAGGAGGTTTCGAAGTCCACAATTGTCCCAGGATTCAACGTCCGCACCAACATAAACCAACCTGAAAGTTCATTGTAAGATGCATCCCATTCGCCATGAAGTTTGACAATGGCATTTTGTTTTGCCAACCAAGCTTTTTTATAGGAGACAGTGTACCCATACTGCGATTGTATAGCTGAAATCAACACTGCAACAACTATATGAGAGCTTGCTTTTACCATGGGCATGACGGCTTGGCATATCATTTCAGAGTCCAAGTTGGGATGATCTTGGTTGACCCCTGCAGCACAACATGTGTGAGGACCGTTGTATACTGTTAGTTCTCATATGGTATTTTTCCTCTTAATTTTCGATACGTGAACCATCAAATTGTATATGTTTTCGCGTCGGGCACAATAGCATACATATGTTTCGGTCGTCGATCGGTTGACTCTGGACTGAACAGAATTACGGATATTGTAATTTTTTATAGCCATCATTGCTTCTTCTTTGATTGAAAACTCCATGCCTAAAGATAACTCACCATTATTTATTGATGAGTAATATCTATAGTCACTGAGATGAGGCATATCCGCAAATTCTGGGTTGTACATTGCACCATAATCAGCTTCATACATGTGTGCAGGAGGGTCAATTTGTGTCACATTTCCTGGAACTTCATCTACATCATAATCATCGGAGTTGAATTGCGGTGATTCTGGGTGAATGAATAGTCCAGTCTCAGCACCATCTGCACCAGGCTCACGAAGCGATTCTTCTGGTGGAGATGATGGTTCCTCCATGCGCTCCACATTTAGGTCAAAGAACCTACTACTTGCAGTCGAATGCCTCCCCCTGGAGCTTGAAGCCATCGTGTCAAATGGAAACTGCACAGATTGTTGCGTCGATGACATCTCTATATTAAAGTCAAAGAAATTTGCAGATGAATGTCTTCTCCTTGAATTGGACGCGGTGTTGCCATACGAATTGTTCGTGGACCCACCTCAGTACATATCGTAAGGAGTTGCAGATGAATGTCTCCATATTATGGCATTAAAATCATTACACATTACTGTAGTCGGGTTGTCAACTTGATCAACTTGTTCAGCCAGCCCATAATGGGAGCTTAATGATTGACCCCGAACAGCACGCACTTGAACAAAATATGCATACATCTCAATAGCGGCGTCTGAATAATTACTTTGAGCTTCAACCATCATTTGAACATCATCATTTGGAACAATGATGTTGGAAATCTGTACTGCAACGACGACATTCTTCTACTACTTCCAACATGAATCTTCTTCGAAATCTTCGTTATCAGCTCCTCAAGAGTTATGTTTCTCTTGAATGATATTTTAACCCGCTAATTTGATACGAAAACAACGCCGGTTTCATCTTCTCGAATTTCACCATCATAATAAAGTGTGACAATATTATATCTGCAAAAAAAATAACTGAAACAAACCTGATTAAATAAATTATATATGAACGAAAGTATAACACAATAAATGTTTTACACATCAACGTAAATAATTTAAATAATATTATATTATATTATTACATGCACCGTAAAACTATTTCGACGTATGCTCCCGCTTTTCAATTTTACAAACATAAAAATTAATTGAAAATAATTAGTATAATATTTTTTTCAAATAATGATAATAAACAATAAGTATAATTAAAAAATTATAACAAAATTACCTTATAACGAAAAATCGCACGAACTTCTAAATCAAATATGAGAAGATTGCCTGAATTATTACTCGTTGACGGAATTGTTGTATTAATTTATAAGTTGAGAGGAGATGTGAGAAACTTAACCGGCGAAGGAGTGTATTTATAACCATATAAGGCGCGGTACCTGCACTGCGATATATGTAATTATTCATAAAAGATATAGCCGGACCAGGGACTGCGTTAAATATAATTCCGGTATAGCGCGGTCGTGCTATAGCCCTACGTGGCGTATAGCGGCGCCCCTGATCCGCGCTATACCCCTACGTGGCGTATAGCGTGGTACAGGGGGCGCTATACCCCACGTGGCGCCAAATCAACGTATAGCGTAGGACAGGGGCACGCTTTACTGCTACGGGTGTTAGATCGGGAAATATAATCTGACCGGTGTTAGATTGGTAAATATACCGATCACCGGTGATTTTCGGGAAAAACACCATGTTTGGTACTAGAAAATATATTTTATTTTTATTTTTGTATAAAATAGAAAACATTGAAAAACATGTTTAGTTGTAAAATTAGAAAATGATTTCTAAAAAAATAAAAATAAATAAAAAACATGAAAACATGAAAAATATGTTTTCAGTTATTTTCATTAAAATTGTTTTGGAAATTTGAAAATAGGAAATCATGAGTAGAGGATTTTTAACTTAAATTATACAAATTCAAATTATTTTAACAATAATTGTTTGATTTACTGGCATCTAAAATACTCAAATTTTTGCAAAATAATCAATGTGGTCCCTAAACTTTTTTTACATTCAATGTGGTACTTAAACTGTTTTTTAATCTTAAAATTATTTTTATATTTAGTATATTGAATATCTTAATAATTATTTATATTTTAAATTTAAATAATACCTTAATTGTTTTTAAAAAAATTAAGTAATATCTCAAACTTTCTAAAAAATCAATTAGGTCCTCAAACTTAGTAAAAATTTAACTAATCATATATGCCACACCATCATTCATCGTACATTGTCACAACATCATGAACTATCACATCAACATTATAGATTATTATGAAAGCTTTGAGAATTGTTGTGTAAGCGTTGTGACAATTTGATTTTGTTGGTTGAAGGCAGTGGAGGATGCAATAAGCCCCCATAGAGGCCAAGTGCATCCCTATTATTTCAAAAAAATGGCTAAATTTAGCTCAATGTGTTAAGGAAAAAAGAAACAAAAAATAAAATTTTTGCATGCCCGTTATTTTTAAGAAAATTAAAATTTTAGACTCCTATTCTTAAATTTCATGATCCGCCACTGGTCAAATGATTAAATATATTTTTTTTCTCAATTTAACGGTCACTTTTTTTCAAGGGATACACTATTTTTTTTTCAAAAGTTGAGGACCTTAAATAATACTATATAATTTAGTTTAAAAATTTAATTAACGTACAATATGCATTAAATATTATATTCTTATTATAAACTAAAATAATTTTGTATTACAAAATTATCCAATTTATTGTTTTATATATGCATAACTCATATATTAAATGTCTGTAATTTAATTGTTTAATAACTATTTATTTATTTCTATTTAAAAAACAGATTTTTGAATTCAAATTTTCATTTATATATATCAAACATGTTTTCTAATTTTCAAAAAATAAAAATAAAAAAATATTTTCTAAAAATAAAAACAGAAAATATTTTCTAGACCCGTGTCCGCAAATTTCATACTTCCCGAAGTAAATGGGTTTTTATGGATCAAATATACCAAGAGCCATTGAACAACGTTAAAATATCATTTTGATCATTAAAATTTTAAAAGTTATAAAACAATCATTAAATTAAAGCTAAAAAATCAGTGTCTCACACATGCGTCAAAAAATATTTTTTTTATCCTTCAAATCCTCTAGGAGGCCCTAATTATATTATTTGCGCTCATTAACATTCCGTATAATAATGTAGAAATGGCTACAATAATTAGGCTCAAATTTTTAGATCTCCATTCCAAAAGTTTAGTGGATCAAGTTGAATATTAAAAGTGGGTTATCAACATTTTTAGCTTTTGAATATTTTTAGTTATCGATACTTGATTTATTAATAAATTAATTCAAATGAAGTACTGTAAAAATTTATTATGAAAATTGTCTTCTCAATTTAGTTTACTCTATTCACAATGTCGAAATTCGTACTTTTAATCTTATTTAAGAAGTTTAGTGTCTCGTCCCATTTAAACCAATTAAATGTTTACTCTTTAGCTTTGATTTTTTTTAATGTATTATCGTTGTAATAAGGGTAACTTTTGCCCATGTAGTAGGCTCAATTTATCACTTTCGTCATATCGTATTTTCGTATCAATTTAGCTCTTGAAGTTGCTCAATTGCATTATTTTATATCCCACCTCTAACTTAAAATCCTAAATTATAAATCTTAAACCCTAAATGATAACCCTATTACCTCTAAAACATAAACCCTAAATACTAACTTAAGATTTATAATTTAGGATTTTAAGTTAGGACAATAGTATAGATTGATGCAATTAAACAACTTTAAAGACTAAATTGATGAGAGACGAAAATAATAAATTAGATCTACTACAAAAAGCAAAAGTGAACTTAAACCTTTTTAATAAATGTACTTTCTTTAAGTTCGAATGCATATTCATATTTATATATTATGCAAGAAAGCAAGGGACCAAATAGAAATCGACAAAGAGACATACGAGAGAAGAGTTTGGTTGTATTATTTTCTATTTACATTTTTTGAATATGCTATATAAATTAATTACAAATGTACTTGAATTATATACATATAATTTTTGGATAAACTACGTGTTTAGTATCTAACCAATCAGTCTTGATCTATTTTAGTGTCTAAACTTTCATTTGTTTTAAAAATATACCTAAAGTTTAATTGTTGTTTCATTTTAGTATCCCATTTAAAACTTAATGTTAAATTTTGAATTTTTTTGAAAGTTTAGGTACTAAAACAGACCAAAACTGATCGTTTATGTACTAAACACGTTACGTTTTTAACGGAAGGGTACTAAAATAAAATAAAAACTAAACATTAGGTATGATTTTGAAAAATTAAAAGTTTAAGTAGTAAAAAGGACTAAACTGATAGTTTAAATATTAAATGTGTAATTTACCCATACTTTTTTAAATAAGCATCATAATCTATCACCAGCAAAGTAAATTAACTACCTTTCTTAACTTTCTTGCATTGCTTTCCTTCGTTTGCTTCCCCACCAAATTCATTCACGTTACCATCGCCTAACACGGCCGACCGAGCTTCGAACAACGATATCGGAAATGACCTCGTCAAACCCACGGGAGTTTTGAACGTGATTGTCGATGTCTCCGAACGGGATCGATGTTGGACGCAGATTTCGGTCAAGTCAAACCAAAGCATGAACTCCTTGACTTTAACACCCGTCAGGTTCCTGATCTTGTTCGTCTCGAAATACGCCTTGATTTCCGCATCGTACCTGACGACTACGTTATCGAACATGTGGAGGCCGTCCCTCTTCGACGTCGTTCCGTGTAGGCACCGGCGTCGGAGCCAGACGAAGCCGGTATCCTTGACGTGACCGTATTCGTGTATGTCTTGGAGAGTTAGTAGCAAGCCCTTTGGCAACCCTTTTTCTTCCAACAACGATGTGAACTTCTCTGTGCATGTCTCGTTTCCATGGTAAACTTCGGCTTTGGCCTTCATTTCCTCTGTTACCAGATGAATCGACATTTTTAGGGTCTCTCTCTCTCTCTCTCTTCAGACAAAGGGATTTGAATTTCGACGGGTTTGAGGTTGAAGATGGAGTGTTTTTATGGTGTTTCGGCTCGAATTGAACTCCTTTTGTTTATGGCAACTTGGGTGCAACGTGGTCGCTTTCGGCGATGTCCCAAAATTTTGGTTTAGGTCAAATTATGAATTTGGTCATTTTACTATATTTCACATTTGGAATTTAGTTCATCTACTTCAATTTAGCTTGAGTTGATCATTTGCTTTTGTTCTTATTGTGATGATATGTATTATTAAAAAAATACCATTTAAAGTTGAGATATCAAATTATGTTAATTTAACTATTTAAATTAAAAACACCATTTTGATTTGAAATATCACCTGAATTTGGTTTTTTTATTCAAATAGGTACTTAAACTTAGGTTTTTTTTTTACTTCAAATTGATTAAAAATCATAAATACATCCAAAAAGCCAAATTCAAACACCAAAAAAAAAAAAAAAAAAATCAAATTCAGATATCTATTTAGACAGAGCCTTCTTAGATATTTTTGAGGTCCATAGCGAAAACTAAAAAATATACCTTTGTAAAATGAAAATATATTTCATTAATTTGAACAATTAATTTAATATTACATAAAAAAATCATAAAAAAATAATTAAACTTTGTGAAAATATATTATTTTTATTATTTTATTAAGAAAACACTTTAAATACAACTAAAAGGGAATAAATATAAAATAAAATTGAATGCATGTATGATATATAGCTTGATTTCGAATAATAAATAAATAAAAATAAATGTATATTATTTTATTATTACATTTAGATTGAAGAAGACTACAAACATATTTGATAAATTGAAGAGTAAGATTTGAAAAAAAGAGAAAAAAATGATTAGATTTAATTCAAAATTGAATGAATAAATAAGAGAAATGAAAAAAGAGGGTAAAAAACTAAACATTTTATGAAACTATAAAAATTAGAGGCCCTGCTTATGTCTCCCAAGGGTTTCAACAATTTGTCCCAACGTGAGTCGTGGTCTAATGTACCAAAAAAATATAAAATTTTAATTAAAAAAGGGTAAATTATTGGTCACTTTCGTTTTATAATTTTTTTCTCACTGAATTCAAAAAACATAATATTTGATCACTTTTATTTCGTTTTAATTAAGATATGGTCACTGAAAGTTAACGACCGTTAAACCTTTAACAATTTTCTGACGTGGCACGGTAAATATATAAAATTAAAATTATATCATTTTCACGTAGATAATATGTGGATTAAGTTTTGGTCACTTTGCTTTAAAATACACACGTTTTGGTCACTTACGTTATTGTTTTATTAAGTTTTGGTCACTTATGTTATCGTTTTATTAAGTTTTGGTCACTTGCGTTATCGTTTTATTAAGTTTTGATCACTTGGACGTTGAATGTCGTTAGTTTAATGGCATGGACCGTTAGTAAAATGAATTAATTTTTATTTTAACCCCTATACTTTAGACAAAATATTGCATATGTGTTATTTTTAAATTCAAATTATTTTAGAGGCAACATTTCAATTTACCCATTTTTTAATAATTTTTCTTCCCAACCCCAATATTGCTTATCTTCTCCTCGTTTCTTCTTCAAATATCTCTACTCCATTTCTCCATTTGCCTTCTTTCAAGGACTTATGTTGCATTTCAATAATAATGAAAGATTTTCAACTTCCGATAAAAATGATAACACCATAACTTTAGAGATAAAATGAAGTTGGGTAATCTCAATTATACAAACTAAAATTCAATTTCCAAAGATTGAGATTTCGGAATGCCAAGTCCAACAGGAAAAATCAATGAATTCAATTAACCTAATAATTGAATATCACTCTTCATGATGATTTTCCCTTGAGAAAGCCCATCCGGTGAAACATAATCAATGGATCCAAACACCCTGATAACTGAATCCGTGAATTAATCCATTGAACCCAATCCAAAATTTATGATCTTCAATATCAAATATTTGTTTTTTGCTCAAGAACAAGCAACTTTTCGGTTCTAGATCCCTATGAATAATGTTGATCCCTACGACCTGCGTGTTCTGTCACACCACCGCTACTACTTCAACCCTTGAATACCTCATTTTTGTGACGATTTGATCGAACAACTCACCGTCTGAGTACAATTCTAGTACTAAGTGTATGCCAGTTTGATCTTCGAAAATGTCGTGGAGCTCAATCACGTTCGGATGCGACGAAACGTTCTCGACAACCTTTCATATCACTGGGATTTCAATGGTCAACAATGGGTCGGAGATGGAAACCTGGTATTGTGTCATCAATAATGCCGCCATTGAAGAAGCTCTAGTTTTCTAAACTCGAGGCGGTGGCATCACTGTGGTGGTAAATATTTTCATAGTTTTAATGACGGATTCTCTACATTTTTCACGATCTTTATTACTTCTTTTTATATCTTTTATCACAACTGAGAACCCCTAATTTGACTTCAAATAATTACTACTACTAATAAGAAATAATAATCTATTGCATTGGAGCATAGATGTATGAAGAAGCGGGGAGAAGATGAGCAATTGGGATTGGGGAGGAAAAATATTAAAAAGGGTAAATTGAAATGTTGTCCCTAAACTAATTTGAAATTAGACAAAAAAATCCATAATTAATATTTTGTCTAAAGTTTAGGGGTTAAAATAACAATTGAACCATTTGACTATCGGGTCACGTCATCAAACTAACGACATTCAACATCCAAGTGATCAAAACTTAATAAAATGATAACGTAATCGACCAAAACTTGAAAAAACAATAACATAAGTGACCAAAACTTATGTTTTTTTAAAGAAAAGTAACCAAAACTTAATCTACAAATTATCTACATGGAAATAATATAATTTTTAATTTTATATATTTACCATGCCACATCAGCAAACCGTTAAATGTTTAACTGTTGTTAACCTTCAGTTAACCACATCTTAATTAAAACGAAACGAAAATGACTAAATCTTATTTTTTGAATTCAGTGAGGAAAAAATAATAAAACTCAAACAAAAGTGACTATTTCTGTAATTTACCCTTAAAAGAAATAATTGCTCGATACCGGTTTAAGACTGAAATTGTACATATTAACCCCAAACCGAAAAGCCTTACCCAGGAATAAGAGAAACAGAGATAGAGCCGGAACAAAAAGTCAGCAACCAACCAAACAGACCCCACCGACAATATCTTTTCCTTTCTCTGTCTTGGGATTGGAAGGAAGAACAAAGTTTCATCTTTGAGCGTCGTGTTGAATCACTCTTTTTTGCGGCCCCCAAATTCTGTTCTCAAATAATAATAATTTCCCTTCAATTTAGAAACCCTTTTTTCCCTTCAATTAGTGGGAAACAGAATCAAAGAAACGGTATTAAGAACAAAGGAATATCACGCTTTATTTGACCCCTTTTCTCTGATGCTCATTTAATTCCCAAAATTTTAGGGCTTTTTATCGATTTTCTCTTTGTTGTGTATCTCTCATTTCTTCTTCTTCATTGTCACTGCACTTCCCCAGTTGCCCTGGTTCAAGGTAATTGCCCATTTGCCTACCTTTTATTCTATTAAATGTCAACTCTTTGTTTTTCTTTGATAATTTCCCTTGTTCTGTTGTGAAATTTTGTTGGGTTTTGGATTCCCGAATGGAATTTCTTTGTTCTAGTTTCTTGTATGAATGACTTGTCTGTGTGGTTTGAATTTAGCTGTGTTTCAGGTTTGGTATTAGTTGTAACGTATTGATGAGGAGTTGATTTTTAATTACTGAATGGAAGTAAAAGTGAGTTTAATTTGCTCATAGAGATTGCAAGCAAGGTTTACTTTTTTCCCCTAGTACATAATTTGCCATCTAATTAGTTGTTGAAAAGGTTTATGGAAATTGTGGAACTTGTGCTTGATATGATACTTTATGTAAAACTGGTAGTTCCTCAATTTGCAACATCGGACCTCTTTTGCTTTCATTCTGTGTGATATCGAGTGACAGAAACATTGAAAACCTCATGAATGCTTTGTTTATGCACTTTTATTATATATGTATAGGCTAACTGTGTACGTTCTTCGGTGGCAGTTGCAATGTTTTGTTTAGGGGAGAACTTGTTCTTTTTAATGTCAAATCTCAAAACCATCTTACATGGTTCCCTTGACAGGCTAGGGATAGCTTAAACTGATTTCGTTTTTCAAGGAAGTGACAGGCTATTATAATTTCATGGCTCGGAAAGGTAATCAGCAGAAGAATGGGAAACAAAGGAGTACGGAGGCAGGCTATCGAGTCTCTAATGCGAAAGGGACAGGAAAAGCAAATAAGAAAATGGTTTTTCATGGAGAGGAACTACCAAATGGTAATCCACCAGATAGTACTTTAACGGAGACTTTTAGCGATGGTCATCAAGCTGGGACTGATATTAAATATAGGCAGAATCCTGAGATATCCGTAACAATAGAGAAGCGTGATGATGCAGCTGAGGGTCTTGGTCAATCAGTATCTTCCGGTAGTAATTCTGGGGATTGCATTGAAAATGCAGCTTCAAACAAAGCTTCAACTAGAAGGGAACAAAATGAAATATCACCTGATGGAAATCTTCATCCGAAACACAAAAAAGGAGTTTGGGGATGCTTGTTGAATGGTTTTCACCTTAAAGATGCGATGGAGAATGTAAAGTTTTCAGATTATGTGGTGGTAAGAAATATGAGAGCAGCAGCGAGAGCATCTGCTGCTTCCACCTTGAATGTGATAAGCCAGTGGCTCGAGAGGCAGAGGCCAATTTTCATTTCCCTAACAAGTAAAGTGTATAATGCTCGAGATCATGTGAAAGTAAAGGTTGAGCGATTATATCCCATCATGTTGACGTGGCTTAGGCATTTTGGAAATATCATGCTTCTTTTGTCAATAATCTGGTTGGACTGCACTCTTAGGGGCATTGATTCCTTTCTCCGAATGGGTACAACGTCACTTTTTTCAGTCATATGGTGCAGTATTTTCTCGGTGTTTGCAATGGTTGGG